CTTCGCCCTCCGGTTTCTCTGAAGCACAGCCGGGCTTTGGAGGAAGGTGTCGCGCCTCTGGAGTCCAAGCCCATGTCGCAGTCCCCAGCCGTGCATGTGGACGAGGCAGACGGTGATGAGGTTCCTGGCTCGGAGTCTCGACCAGCCAACCAGAATCCACAATCTTCACTGGCAACAGGAACTCACCAAGTGGTAGATGAGACAGGCAATCAGGACCAGTCGCCTCCAGCAAGGCGTGCTGGTCAAGAGAAGGGTGGAGCAGCGTATGCTGGGAGCAGCCAGTCTACTCCGGGACAAAAAGCCCAGGCTTCTTCAGGCCCCTTCCTTCGCAGCCGAAGCGAGTATCTGGCACAAGTCCAGTTCTTCTGCGATCAGGCCCAGGAGACGAATTATAAGGATCCACAGGATTCAGGCTTCAAGTGGGATCTTTGTTGGCATTCTGTTTGGACATCGTGGAAGTCGTGGGCCCAACGCGTACGGCCGAATCCCGACTTAACGAAGCTTGTGAAACGTGGGTTGAAGGGTGTAGGGTTCCCATGCCTCAGGGGCCACAGGCCCTCGAAGGCTGAACCCAACCCGAAGAGTTTTCTCTTAAGCCTAGTAGCCAGAAGCAATCCTACAAATCCTGTAAATCCTGTGCACCCCTCTAAAACCCTTGTAAACTCCTCTGCGGGCGAGAGGAGAAGGCGGCGGAGGCGCTCTCCGCTGCAGTGAGGGCCACAGCCCCGGGTGGCGATGCCCGGAGGTGGCTGGAGGCGGGCCTGCGGGTTCCTGGAAAGTTTCCTTTTTTTGTTTTCTTTGGGGGAGGGGGGGGAGGTGGGGGTGGGATGTTGTGGGGGTTTCTGCTCACGTCCTGCGCTTTGTCTGTCGATTGCCAATGCTGGCAAGAAGTACGCGCTAAGCCCATAAGCCGCTAAGCCGCACACCCCGACACCGCCAAAATCTTAGGTAGCTTTCGTAGGATTTGCGTAGTGCAAGTGAAGCTTCAATGTTCAGGTTTACCTTGCTCTGGCAGCTCAGGTGGCGCAGGACATTCTGCATCTGCATCTCGACAATATCTCGAGGGCTTCGTCTGACAGGTGCCATATTTTGGGGGCCATTCGGGTCAAACACGTTGACGCCGCCCAAACAACGAAATGCCGGCACCAGTCGCTGAACCATGTCGAACCCGAAGGCTACAAGCCCCGAGCCCCCACTCTAGTCCCCAGAAAGGGAGTCAATACATAAGCCCCCAGAGTCTCGAAACCGCCAAGTTAGTAAAAAGGGGGAACATCCTAACTCCCAAGCAAGCAAAGCCATCAAGAGGGCCGAAGCCTTGAACCCCAAAGTTCAGGAAGGCCCCGTGCACGAAAGAGCCCCGAGACCTGCGCCAACAAGCGAGTGAGGCCAGGGCGTGGATCGTTATTGGGTGTTTTTGGGGGTTTTGTTTCCTCGAATTTGATATCTTGGGGGGGTCGTGTTGAAGTCTTGGGGGGTCTTCAGGCAACCTGCAAGGTTCAGGGTTCCAGGCGCAGCTGCAGATAGTTGCAAGTCATACAAGCCTGAAATCACGCAATCTGAGTCTGGTGGTCCGGATATCCGAAAGGAGCCCCAAAACCGAAACCCTGAACCCCTCTAAACCCTCTAAACTCTAAACCCGAAAACCTCGAAAATCTGAATGTGTGGTAGGCGGGCTCGGCGATGCTGGCTGCGCAGCAGGCGAAGTCAGGGGCAGTGGACTGTGAGGCCTGGTTTAGTCATGTCCCAAGGTGGCGTTTTGGGGCCGAGGGTTTGGGATGTTCCCCGTTATACTAGCAGTCCTAAATCGGGATTTGGGTACCCCTCTTCTAATCCCCTCTTAAGGACCTGTTAGTATGAGGGGGAACATCCCAAGGTCAAGGGTTCAAGGTCTGGAGGGATTTAGGGTGGAGGGTTTGGAGGTTCAGGGGGAACTCGAGGCAGCTTCTGGTTTAGGTGCTTCGAACTCAGGGTGGTTTTGGGTTTGTTGCCTTAACCCTGAGGCATTAACCTTCGGTCTGTGGGTTCTTGATGGTTCTTGAACAATCATTGGTGGCTACCTCCAAAGCTGGGTGGTCGAGGCCCTAGCCACAGCCGAGCGCGCGCTTGGCGATCTCCTCATCTGGCCGGGCGTTTTTTTTTTTTTTTTTTTTTTTTTTTTTTTTGGCTTGTTAGCTTAATGTGGCTGAAGGTTGTCGATACATGAGACTTCGGGCAGTTTCAAGTTTGGAGGGTCTCGTCCTGAGCAACAAACTGCGCGTGAGTATCATTCGCTAATTTCGTGTGTCTGCGGCTTGTATCAAAACTCTGCAGAACACATATCATACAAAATCGTACACTTGCTCTTTGCTCACACGCCTTTGATTAGGTAGCCAAGCAATCTCGAGATAGAGAGTGACTGAAGATCAACCCCTAAACCCTCAACCCTCAACCCGAAGCCCTATTGGTGACTGCTGCTGCTCTTGCGTACGGCGATGCTCTCGGATCCCTTCTTGACTTATCGCATCCTTGGCATCTTTACTGGAACTCTAGGACTCGGCAGGTTTGATGTTTTTGGCCTCTGAGGATGACATCCCAGAGCCCTTTAAAGCCTCCTTCAAGGCTCAATAGAGGAGAGAGTGATCGGGGAGCTGTCTCCAAAGGCCAGCATGTAGCTCCCGATGGCTCCCCGAGAGGCCCTACTTCTTTTTTGCCGCCCTGAACCGATTTAATTCACAGGCCCGTGTCCAGTGGTTGGTGCTTCGCCCTGATCCGCAGGCGCTGCCATCAACTCAGCCCACTGCGCTCGCGGAGCGGGTTCAAGTCGGCGCTAGCGGAGGTCCGGGCTTCAAAAACTTTGGGCTTTGGGGGTTGGGGTGTTCCCCCTTGTACTAACAGTCCTTCATAAGGATTACAATAGGGGGGGTACTTTCATCCCGATTCAGGACTGTTAGCATAAGGCGGAACATCCCAATATGGGGGCTTCAAGGACTTTGGGGCCTCAAGGGACCTAAGTATGGGACTTAAGGGTTAAGGGTTTAGGGTTGAAGGACTTCAGGGAGCCTTCATCGTAGCTTGGAGCTTAGTTGGGTTCTTTCGTGTCCTTCGGACTCCCACATGTTCTGATCTCCTAAGGTTTCGGGCTAGGGACCATGCTGAGCCCCTTGAGCTGGCAGGCGAAGTATCGGGTTTTAGGATGGATCGGCACGTGCACACATCCTCAATGGTCTGGGAATGGAGCCGTGCCCTTGCACAATGAGCCCCGCCCAAGAGCCGGAATTGTGGGAATTCGCACGGCCTGCATCTTGGACAGAGACCCCTTTGCAAAGTGTCACGCAGACCTGAAGATTCAAGACGCATCTCCCAAGTAGGTTTTTGCCATCAATCATGGAAGCTCCTTCTGCGTGTAGGCCTTGAGCGGGCAGACGCTCACAACGCAGCATTGGCGAGAGCCTCTACGGTTTGGCCTGGTTGAGCATATGGTTCTCATACATGCAGAGTTTTGCAGCGGCTGCGTGTATGGGGATTTTGTCGCAAGCTGGTGGAAGCGAACAGGACTTAGGTATGTCTGGGGGGGGCTTCCGGCCTTGCATCTCCTACCTGCGCTCTCCATGGCTCTCGACCGGTGAACGCCCAAGCCACAACAAACCGTCAGTAAGACAAGCAATCGGCGTGAGGCTTGAAGCCAACAACGCTAGTGTTGTGGTCCCCTTGTGTCGCTTTTCCTAGTATCAGTATCAAGCATCGTGGGAGTACGTCCTTTCAACAGCTTAGATCTGCATGCGAATGTGCCAAAGATCAGCTGCGGGGCTGGACTCGGCTCACGCTATTCTGTGGCTGTTGCCGAGGTCGAGGTTCTTTTACATCCACAAGCAAGTGGCTCTGTGCTCGGACGGTTGCGACCGCTCGCCATGTGTTCAGGGTTTTCTTGACAGCGCAGCGCAGCAAGAAGATGTATCCTGAGATCTACATCAGCTGAACCCTTCGAAACGAGCCCCCCCAGAAGCCCGCAGCGGCGAGGTGGCCAGGCAGCTACCCGAAGCCGACTTCAAGGCGCTTCGTTGGCCCTGTTGCGCTTCGTGGCGTGCTGTTTCGGACCTTAGGGTTTTTTTGGCGGCGTTCCATGGAGCATGTCGGGGTGGGTAAGAGTGATGCGGCAACCTTGGGGAGGGCCTTGAGGTATCTCTTGACAGGCCTAGGCAAGCAACTGCTCGGGGCCAACCAGGAAGAAAGGCCAGATTTGTTTTGCTGCACAAGGACCGCTGGAGGGCCGGGTTTCCAGCGCCTAAACCTGACAGACCCACCCCAAACCCGAAGTCCTAAAGCCAAAATTTATTTGAAAAAGCACAATTTTCGCAACATTCTGCTGGCTCAAGCTGACGTCCTACTCGCGCCCGCTCTCGGGCCGAACACTGCTAACAGCGATTTTTCACGCCCTCTGGCCCAATATTCTTGCGGGTTAGGCTTTCGCGTTTCGGCTACATCATAGGGCTAAGAGTTCAGGCGTCGGAACAAGAGATTGCTCGGGTTCGGGGGTGTTCAGATTGAAGAGTGGGCTTCCTCTGGATTGAAATCATCTACGTAGATTTGCACACTTCCGCCGCATTGAGGCTTCAAGCGTGTAAAGTATGTAATTATAGCAGCGTCCAGGAATGATATGGTTTGTTCAGTAGCCGTGAGCTTGACTGGACAACATTCTTGAAAAGCACCTGCGAGCTGTCTTTGGTGACAGATTCAGCGGAAGTCAGCTACACCCACACTTGCAACTCTACACTAAAGCTAGAATGATCAGAAATTCATTTGCTTCTGCTGGACATTGCTGCTTTCAACTGGACCTGCCAAGCTCAAGCCCAGAGGACATTTCTAGGCAGTTTCCAAAAGTAGAAGTACTTCTTCAATACGACTCAACACCCCCCACCCACCCCCCCACCCACCCCCCCACCCAACCCCCCCCCCCCACCCAAAAAAAAAAAAAAGAAAGCCTTGGAGTGCAACCCAGGCCTTCAAAAAGAAAGCTTCCAACGATGGCTTGGGCACCTCGGACCGATGGGGGTTTCCGAAAATAGGGGCTCCGATACTGAGGATTCTAGTATATAAGGGGTAAAATCGGCTCCCCCCTCCCTTTTTTGGGCAGCACCCAGATCAAGGTAGGGCCTAGGCTTGAAACACGGGGCATGCTGGGTGCCTTGCTGCTACGGAGCGCAGCTTCAGATATCAGAATTGGCGCGAACAGCGTTCTGCATGGTCACGTGAAGCTAGCCCTCGACTAGGAGCTTCCACAAAAAGCCCTCATGTCCAACGTGCTTCGGTCGGCACATTGTCCATTTGTCATTTCCACACCCAAGAATTTCTCATGGTCATTGCTGCAGGTATCGAAATGCCTGGCTCCGGACTCGGCATTCCAATGTAGGGTGACGCTCGAGGGGTTGCCAAAGGTGCGCGGCTGTTAAGTCAGTCCCTCAGGTAAGGTTGCTCGAAACTTAGGCAAGATTGCCTAACGTGATGCTCAGGGCTTTGCGTCTGAAAGCCTGCTGCGTTTCTGGCAAGGATCCACATATCTGGCCCCAGAGCACTTGACTTGAATGCCCACATGTGGATGGAACTCATGGGTACGCTACCCCCCCACCCCGTCCGGTGTCCAAGGGTCTAGCTGGCAAGTCAGGCCACGTTGTCGGTGGCCATGGTGGTCCTGGGACAGGAGCCTGAGGTCCTGGGCCAAGCGGGTGCATGGGGGATGGATTGGTGTCAGTGAGTTGGTTTGGACCTTCAATGCTCGGGCGATGAAGCAGGGCTACGGTTTCAGATTGGCGTGATTGATCGTGCGGCTTGGGACAGGTGTCAGATGTCTGCCTGCGCCTAGATTTCCTTGGCTCTAGATCAGCAAGCGATAAAACACAAGCAGGTAGCGGAGAGCACATGCCACTGGATACTGAGCCCTGCGTACGTAGCAGAACCTCAAACTCCCGTATCCTGAGCCCATGAGGTCACCTAGATCCTCCACTCTGTGCATTGATCCTCCAAGACAACTCGGCACGCTGTACTCACCAAGCTCTAAAGGGTCACTCCCCGTCACATCCCTAAGTGCCTCAATGAGCAGGAAAGCACTGCACTGAATCAAGACGATCAGTGCGCAGGCGCTTCCCAATGCTTCCAGTGCCTTCCCCGAACTGCCATACACGTCCCACATACCACACCCCAGTGCCCGCTCCTGCGATGCAGCAATTTGCTTTTCTTTGGGGCTGTTGGGGTTCGTCTGCGTTTGCGTCATTCTTTGTCAAGCGATTGCCAGGTGTCTCCAAATATTCGAAAAAACCTTATGGAATCCCCAAAGGCCAGGACAAACTCCGCAACTCGACGTCTTGCCTTCCGACGCCGGTTCGATCATGGAGTCGTCGCGCACGGTGTGTCTCAGTGTCTGCTCCGTGTCTCGTCGGGTGCTGGGCTGCCTCTGCCTCACATCTTTGATCGGTCCACTGTTCTGCAACCAAACAGCTGGGTTGCAGACTTAGATAATCTTAGACGGTGATGTGCCCCAATCAACAAGCAGCTGGGAAGTAGGGTGAGATCATGACACGCAGCATTGCACATGTCCAAGAGGCTTGGGGTGAAAAGTTCAGGTTTCATGCGTGAACATAGCTTTTGGACCCCATAGTCACAGCAAGTAACGGTTTTCGTGACTGCCCTGTGGTTCTTTTCTCCTCACTCATCTGCTTAGCCAGGCCAAATGGCCAAATGGGAAAGAGAAAAGGGAGAAGGGGTACTCGACCAGTGTTCGGTCTCAGCTCATTTCAGTTATAAGGAATATGCACAATAGAGTCCAAAGAGCGGATGCTTAAGTTTGGTCTGAAAGCCTACTTTCATTGGGGAAGACCCTCATCTGGGCTGAAAGGGTCAAAGGTTCCCCAAAAATAGGAAGCCCTGGTCCCTCTGACCCTGGGTGTCGCCACAGGGGATGAGCGATGTGCCCTGAATGCGCTGCAGCATCGGGGCACGAAGATTGTCGCCGAGACCATTCAGGCTCCAAAGCCCTGGGCTTGCGGGTCCCGAAACTCTTAAGTCCGAACTACGAGGCACCGGAATGAATGGCAAGCGCAAACAGGACCGTGATCCTGGGTCCTAGGTGTCGGCTCCTAAGCAGCTTGGGTAGGTTCGGACGGAGTTTGCACAACAAGTTGCCAAATGGGCGGTGGTGGGATCCCGGAACTTCGATTTCGTCACCGGGTTTTGTGAGCCTGAAGCTCTGAAGTTTGATTTCGTCAGCCCCCTGTCTCCAAGCCCCTCGTCCTCAGCAGGCCGAAGAGCTTGAAGAAGAAGAAGAGGCTGATGACACACTCGAGTACGGGGAGGCAACATCAAAAGACCCAGTCTTGAAAAAGTTGAAATCCCAGCAAGCGCTGAGTCATGTTCACTGGGTGCTATCTGGCAGTTCTGCTTGGGGGGGGGCTCCAAGCTTCTCACCCCAGCAAGAGGAACCATCAGCGTACCATGATCGCTGGCACAGACATTTGGGTCCTGTCAAGTTTAACCACAAACGATGCTAGAATTATTTAGGCTCAGCGCTCGGGCAACGGGAAGTAGCAACTCATCCCCAGTTGGGTGCCGTGGCTATGACCCGGTTCGTTCTCGGCTGTCCCAGTTCAGACAGGAGCTCGAGGCCAACTACACAGAGCTCATGGAGTACGGGTGCTTCGCGAAGCCATCGGACATGCGCCCACTTCTCGGAAATGTGCAGTAGTTGGCCCATTACCTTGTGAGATCTTTGTTTGAGACGTCCCCAGGTTGTCTATGGGTCTAGCACGTCCCTTCTCCAGGCTGAAAGGCTGTAATTAGCCTGTGCTGGTTTCGGTCGGGTCAGACAGGTCTTGTGCCAGTGCTCCATCGAATGGAGCGAAACGGGTGAGAGCACCATGTCTAGTTGAGCTGTTCTTCAAGGCCCAAAAAGTTGTCACGTGGAACGATGATGCCCCAGCTTCCACGCACACCGAGGCTTGTCCTGGAGAGCCAGTGGCCGAGACTTCTTCGAGCAGTTCACTTTCGTGACGCAGGCGCTCGAAAGACATGGAAAGATTCACACCCTCGAGAGGATCGCAATTTTGTTTGCCAGAATATTACCAGGAATATCTGAATGACTGGGTAGCCATGCAAAAGAGAGACGATGTGTTTTTCGAATGTTAGCAGCAATTTGTAAATTTTGAACATATATAGGTATCAATTTTTTTAAGCGTTAATAAGTGGTAAACACGTTTCTTTCTGCACGCTAACGCACTTCCAGACACAATGGCCATGCCGCCGGCATCATTGGTATCGTAGTGAGTGCGCTGGTTCGGCACCATTCATACCCGCAGCATGAACTCGTGTGGTCCGAGATGTGAACCGATAACAAGCTTCACTCTTGATCGGTGATGCCATGATACCGTAGCTCTGGGTGCTTGCACTCAAAGAATTGCAACTTCTGATTTGCCCGATGTCCATCTGCTTGCCATGCAGCTGCAAGTTGCTCAGAAAATAAACGAAACGTAACCGCATCTGCATTCCCGGCTTGCGCTCTGTAGACCCTCCGACCCTATCTTTTCTCGTCGAAGAGTCGACATTGTGGATAACGATGATACTATACGTCATTCCTGCATTTCGCATCTGTGCATGTATGCGATACTTGAAAGGAGAGAACCTTCAATGCTATGTAGCAGAGTGTCCCAAGCTGTCCTGTAAAAATTGCTCCCCCATGGGCCGCGCACCCCCCCACACACACTCTCTCTCTCTCTCTATCTCTACCTCTCTCTACCTCTCTCTATCTCTCTCTATCTCTCTCTATCTCTCTCTATCTCCCTCTATCTCTCTCTCTATCTCTCTCTCTATCTCTCTCTATCTCTCTCTCTCTCTCGCTCTCTCTCTCTCTCTCTGCTACTCTTTGGTGTGCCTCCGTACGGCATGGCACAGCTGAAAAGCACGAACGCAGACTGCTAATCGGCTGCACAACGTACACACTGCACTCTACACCTTGTGCTGAATACATTGGCTATAGTACTGCAGAGACTGCGGTACTCCCGGAGAGTAGTATATCGCATGTTTCGTAAGACTCAAACAGTACCAGCTGCTACACAGTACTTCCATCAATCTACTTGGCGGTAGGTGTGCCACACAAAAAAAACCGGCAGGCCAACGAGTATGACAAACTCCACATCCTTGCTGCAAACCGCGTGATCCTTGCTTCTGAAGATTGCTTCAGCCATGTCCGCTGCGAGGACGACACGCATGGTGCCCACAAGTACCTGAACTTTCATGATGCAGTCAGGCACGGTGCCCGGGACTCAGCTGCGTCCAGCATCCAAGTGCGTAATGGGCTCGGAGCTTGAGACGAGCCTCATCTGGAAACCAACAAGAGAGCCAAAGCGGCAAATCAGCGAGGTCATCGGCGCCACCAGCCATGGGTCCATCTTCATGAAAATCGGTGGCATTGAGCCGACAGGCGGGCACCCGGCAGTTTCGGGGGTGAATCCTACCTAGACTTCAAGCCCTCAGAATGCCATTAAATATCAGGGGCTAGTTTGTTGCAACACAGTCTGTAGCCTGTGAGGGATTTCGAAGAAAGAAAGAAAGAAAGCTTGGGCAATAGGCTGCTCTTGTGCTCGGGTGTTTTTTGATCTTGCCGGCCTCCTGCAGCAGTTGCTTTCCTCTACGTAAGGGAAGTGCCTCGAGAAGCCTTTGAGAAGTCATGCCTTCTTGCCGCCGTTGAACCATATTTCACTGTTCTCGTAGCTTGCTGAGCCCTAAACCCTCACCCCTAGAAAGCCATGAAGCGTCAGGAAACCGGAATAACCAGAGTAGGGCTTCACAGAAGCCTTCAGCTGCAAACTGGCCCTCAGACTGTCTAGGTGACCCGTATGCTCCCTACAAGCGCCATTCGGCTGGGGCCTCGCCAGTGGAGCCTGTTTTGGGAAGTGAAGTGCTGCCTCATCTCATGCGGAGTGCTGCTCGGTGTTCCTTTACGGCACGTGAGATGCACAGCCCGAACCTCGCAGACGTTAGGATCAACGCCCTGCAGCCCTACAAGCAATACAAAGAGGGAGAAACCTGCCATTCTCATGACTCATGAACCCTATAGGTAGGACCTACAGCCTGAAGCCGAAGTGACATCCTGAGTTCTGCAAGGTCATGGTCCACTCCAACTACGCCTGGCAACCCCAAGATGGTTTCCTGCCTCAGCTTTGGTGAAGGGGGGGGGAGTGTGTTAAGCCCAGTGAGGGTTCGTGGTGACCGAACCCCCAACAGCAACGATCCCACCAGGCATGCTGGTTGTCATGAAGTACAACCATGTGCCGTGGGGGCCATCCATCTGGCCTGCCTTCTGGCTGATGAACAGCGACAAGGTGTGGCCTCTTGCCTGAGTGGCAGACAGCTCCGGGCCCCACTAGGCCCTAGGCCCCCCCCCCCCCCCCCCCCGCCTAGGCTTCAGGCTTTGAGGACTTAAAGCCCGGTTCCCGGAAGGTGCCCCCCCACCTTCCCAGCCGAATCAGCTGAGCACTCCAAGCCGAGGCCGGATGGCGGAGAGTTTGACATCATGGAATTTGCAAACGACGAGGCTGCGAGCTCAGAGGGCACCGCATGCTCACCCGAGTGCTGTCCGAAGCAATAGTTCGCAGCTTCTGTCAGGCAATACGCCAGCATGGTAGAAAGACTCGGTACTAGTGCTTGTCCCACTTCTTCATGCTCTGAGGGGATGCCTTCTGGGTGAAGTTCGAAGTTCTTGGCTTTGAATGCTGAAAAAAGTTGCCTCGGCTGCACCAGGCGAGCAAGATCACCTTCCACACCGACAAAAACTGCATGCTGGACCCCCGCCCCTCGACATCTTGGTTGACGGATCTCGACTGTGAGTGCTACCAGCTTCGCTGTTTCGCATATATGTATATATATATGTATGTATATTTATATGTACGATACCCCAAGCCCCGATTAGATGTAGGCACCAGGAACTCGTTGCAGAAAGCCGTCCCCCTGATCCTTGAAGTACAAAGGATCGGCAGGTTCTGTCAACTGGAGGCAAAATGTCCGAACCTTCACAAAACGGGCTTCCAGGAGGTTCGATGGCCGAAACCCCTGGTATTCCAATCCATCCCTTTGAAGCCTACTGTGCCAAAGCCGAGTTGGGCCCTGTCGATCAACGCCTCAAAATGCATGAGCCGAGGAAAGGTGGGTCAGTGCATGCAGGGCAAGAAGATGGGCGGCTCAGGCCCGATGAACTGCAACACGCCACTTGTCTGCACCGGGGTGCGTGGGGACCGGGTGATGCGGTGCTACGTTTTCCAAGGCCTTTCCATGCGTTTCTGTCACGGTATGGTCCTCCACGACAACTGCATTGTTGGTGAATGGGGCTGATACTGGCTCACATCATTGTGATATGACTGTTCTTTGAGTTGGGCGCAATGATGTAGTCTCTTCCATTGGAGGGATAGAACATGCCTGCCTTAATATCACTTCGTGGTGGCACACAAACCTAATCCGCTACACAAGCCTTCGTGGTACCCCTCTATGAGCGATGCTGGTTCGACGGGGGTGTTGGTTTGCGCAGGGCTAGTTTCAGTCCGTGGGTTTTTTTCTTTGGACATCTGTGCTCAGCATAGGCTGTTCCACGCGTCAGGTACCACGATCACAGGCAACTCATGACAACAGCTATTGGAAAGCATGCACGACTGTTAGACGTTTTCGGTCCATGGCCGCGAGTCCACCCTAATAGGCAACCTGTGCCTCAAAGATTCTGTGGCCAGTCAGAAGAGATCATCAACGTACCAAGACTTGTGCTCAGCACCAAACCAGCCCAGGGAAAAACCACGTGTGGGAGAAAAACCCTGAGCCTCAAGAACGCCAACCGGCTGCCTTAAAGTTCAGACAACCCAACCCTACCGCCAAACCCACACCACCAACCCCGAACAGAAGCCCGACAAGCAACACCGAAACCACAACCACAGGAAACGCGGAGGCGAAGCGTGCTGTTTCCAGTGGCATGAGTATTGCCAACATATGCCAAAACGTTCATTGCTCGAGGAAGGAAAGCGACGAATCACGTGAACATGGCAGACATCTTATAACTGAAGCCCGAAGATTCTTCAGCTTCGGGTTACACATGGTGCAGGAACTATTGGAAGAACCTTTTCGGATGCCGACCGAGACAAGTCCAGCGGACAGGCGAGTGGTTCGCCAAGAACCCAGGCGGGAAAGCGGTTGGAAATCCCTACAAACTGTGTCATACGGGGGCTAACATGTTACATTTCTAAGGGTACTTAAACTCAATATGGAATAGACGTTTCAGTTTTTGATACTCTCCCGATCATGAACTAGCTAGGAGCGCTGCTTGAAGGGTAGTTTGGAGGCGACGTGACGCCCTCTGCAGGCGTCTTCGCAGCCAACTGGGACGCGGATGGCATCACAGCCCCCCAGCCAAGACGGGTTCAGCCAAGAGGGTCTGGGGTTTAGGGTTTAGGGTTTAGGGTTCAGGGTTTAGGGTTTAGGGTTTAGGGATTAGGGCTGGGGTCCATGGTTTCAAACTCAGAGCGCGGCTTGGCTGTCGCTGTTGCTGTCGCTCAGGCAAAGTTACAGGAGGCCCAAGACGATGCTCTCCATGTCCGATGCAAGTCTCCATATACATTCGAAGCGCGGAAGTGCGGAAGCCAGGGAATTAGGAAGTTAAAGAAGCCTCTTCTGGAACGACTGAAGCCTTGAAAGGTTCCAACACCCATGAATATCCAAAAGCAGCAATGCGCAGCGACAAAGATGAGGTGTTCCACATCCCAAATCACGAGATTCCCGCAGATCTCAAGGTGCCTCGGGTCGATTCTAAGGACGCAGAAGTACTGCCAGGGTGTGTTGGGTGAAGTTTTAAATGGCTTAAGTGCTCAGCCTTAGGTGGTTTTGGCCGGGGTCGGTTGAGGGCTTGCTGGCAAATGCTCCCGAGAAGCGCAAGCTCACCCCTTTTATTGCTGGTACTCATAGGCGCTGAGGTGCATTTGCCATGAAGGCAGGGAAGACGGCTGTCGTTCGAGGATTCTGGTCACACTTCTCCACTCTGTGCCCTGGAACCCTCCGTGCCTTTTCTTATCTCATCGTATTCAAGCAAGTATCAGCATCGGACTGTGGGCCTGTGATCCTCTAAGCTTGGGATGCAGAGTCATAACTGCTCAGGTTTCTTGCTCCGCCATCAGAAGTAGGCGCACCACTACTGTAGGGGGAGATGAGACGCCTCGAGAATTTTTACCGCATCTGGAGGCAGACAAGCCTCATCCAGAGACCTGGGGCAAATGGGCGGCGGCTTGTCAGCAAATTGTCAGCAAACGCTTCGCAGGACACCTTAGAACTGAACTCTGACGCCTGTCTTCAGGGCAAGGACAACGCACAACAGCCATACCTCACAAGCCCAGAGCCCTCCAAATCTTCTTGGTTTCCAGGCCCTGAACCCAGAAGCACATACTCCCCAAGCATCTTCCGTAACCTGAACCTTGAAACAGAGGAGCTTCAGTTGTTGCGTCCTCTAAGGTGGCCTATTTGCCTTATGTCGGACACACCTGCCACAAGGACCTTGCGGGACCGCAGGACCCGTCTGCCGTGCGCACGGTCCTCTTGGGAGCTTCGGATGGGCTTGGGAGTGGTTTGACGGAGGTTTTTGGAGACGGCTTTGTGAAAACCATACCTTACGCAAAACCGCTGTGCTATTGATGAGGATCCGGCATGATCCGACGTTCCACGATGCTCTAACCCCAGAGTACACCTGGACCTGTGGATGGTGTTCTGAGTTCGGGGCTTCAGGGCCTCTGGCAGGAAATTGTGATGAACATCGCTCTCTGCGGCGACTGGGCTGGCAACGCGTGCCTTGGGATGGAATTTGTGCAGTTCGTCACCTGGGCTGTTTCAGCCCACGTGTAGCCAAGTTTGAAGGTCTTCCTCGGAAAGGCCCCAATCCTCATGAGACACGCGCGGACGCGTTTGACGCATTGGACCTTGTTAAATTCGTTCTTCAGCGGAAAACTGCAGGGGAGACGGGCCGAGTGCCCACACGACTGTACAGGACCGAACCTTCAACAGGCAAACCCTGATGATCCTCAACACTAATTATGAGCACCGGAACCCTGGATGCCGAGGTGGTTCCGCTCTGGTGCAGCGCGTACCACGGGCTTCTCCCACGGCGTCTTGATTCCGAAGATTATGTCTTTGAGTGTTTTCGGGCAGGTAGGGCTTATGGATTTAGAAAGCATCTTGGCATCCATTTGCTGACTCTTACGCCCTCACCAAAAAATACCACATTCCAGCAGGGACTATAAAGTCGTCAAAGTCGGTTCTGACCACATTTAGGTCATGCAAGACTTGAGGAGGAGTCTGAGGAAGCCGCGCATTGTGTGTCTGTTTCACTACTCGTACCATCTCGTACCTAGATGGGCCCCTGAACCACAATCCCTCGAAGCCCTTTCCCCAAGCGCCACACTCCCTTCAGGGTGCCGGGCAGACATTGGCAAGCCTTACGAGGATTGCTGCACCAAGTATGCCACTAGCCATGCCGTGGGCTCGGCATACTCGTTACGACCAAGGTATGGACTCTTGTTTTTTGTTTTCTTGTGTCGTCTCTTCCTGAATTCAATTCTAGCTTTCAAGTTTCTTTCGCTTGCTGCTCGGCTTTCCCTGACATCCAAGACTTGGCCCATCCTACCCGGTCCTTCGGAAGGTTCCGTTTCCATCCATGCGTACACATTCAGAAAACATACTGTCTGCAAGTATCTTCCGCGCCTCCCATTTTGAGCTGTATTTGAGTTGCCTTTGAATTTGTAAAGCGTACGTAGCTACCATAGTTCTCGAGCTTTTTGATCATCTATGGAGGCACCCCTTATAGGCTGCTTATAGGTTCCAGTTATAGTAAGGATTCCTTGCAAGGAGCCCAAGACGGCACCCCGGAACAGTGCGTACCAGTCACCGAAGCCTCGCCCCAGTCGTGACGTTCTGACTCCACCTCCGGAAAAAAAGTTAAACCCGTCGCCGACTCGATACGTGCTAAACACCCACTCCTGAAGCTGTTCGACCTGTAGAAACCACTGAGCCCCGAAGCAACATCGCACCGTGGGCACATCTCCGAAACAGCTCCAGACCCGCCCTCCTGCTGAGGATGGGCGCATCGACCACATGTTTAGGCCGCGGCGCTTTCGATGTTTCGATTTCCTTTTTTTGTTTCTTCCTGAAACCCTGCCCCAGTCCGGTGTTCAGTGTTGCAGAGCACTTGATCCCCCTCAGCCCCGGCCAGGAACCAGGCCTACTTCGATATTGACTACATGAAGGCAACAGCACTGCGTTTATGGGCTTAAATGGGGTATGTAGGTCTCAGGGCTTGGGATTTTGGGGGTTCAGGGGGGGGCCCAAGCTGAGCTTTGCTCCTTCTGTGCTCATGGTGCCCCTGTCTTGAGCAACTCATGACACGATCTCGGATTTCACGAGTCCGAGGGGCTCTCGTGCGCTGACCTTCTTAACCCTCGAAATGTGTCGGAAACATGTCAATGTAGAATCCAGACTCTGGAGGCTTGGCATCTCGGTCTCAGGATCTTTCAATTTGTCGAAGACAGGTGCTTGGAGGACCCTGGGGCCAGCTGAAACGATACACCTAATGGCCACGACTATACTTCTAAGTCGAGACATGAAATGATCAAAGCTACAGTAAACCGTAAGGATGGCATCCGACATAAATCCTACCAGGATATCTTGTGCATTGAAAGCTCCCCTTTATTCACTTTATTCCATCCCGCATATGCCACTTCTATGCCGAATGCTCGCCCCCTGACACAGGTCTTCACTTCGGCTGGTGCCCGCAGCCCCACCTTGTCGGGTATCCACAGGCGGGTGAGACATCTGACCCTAAACCCAAAACCCTAAGCCCTAAACTGCACTATGTATGCTCAGAGTCCGCGGGTTGAAGGCTGATTACAGGTCATAAGGGAACATGAGGTTCTTCCAAGTGGAAAGGAAGTGCGGCCTAGCGCAGACATACATCAAGCCATAATCAATCTACTGGGCACCGGGCTTCTTAACTACGGAACAGTCCTCCACCTAGAGCAACTTCCACGGCGTTTGAAGTGCTTTATATCCGTGCAGAGCTGCGAGGAGCTGCACAGCATCTCGGGGCTTGTGGCTTCAAGAGTGTAATGCCACATGCTTCCATAGCAACATCCACAGAGCCCTCGGAATGACCCAAGAACGTGTCATTACGCCGAGCGCACATCGGGGAAATACAACATGTGCTGAGACATATGGTAATCACATGTAATCACGATCGGAGAGGCGCGGCGGTCGACCTCTGAATGGCTGAGCTGCAGGCCGTAGGCCTTGCAAGTTGGCTTTGCCTTTGAACGCATGTGAGCCAAAAGAGCATCTGATATGGCAACTCAGGAGCCACGGCAGGGGTGGCTTCTAGTGGAGTTGCAGATGAAGATTCACCATGACTCTGCCTGCTGTCTTTGATGACAATTGAAAGCCGGCTTTACTTTGATGATGCCCAAACCTGAGGAACAAGATGCGCATGTCAAAGAACCAGCTAACCTCGATATTCCGGCTGCCATGATTCGCGTGCCCCTGAAAAAAAGCAGAGGATCGTGTGTTGGCTGCATACCCAGCCATCAGTCTCACACCAACCCGGGGCGAGCTTTGTTTGGTTCTTTGCCGTCCTTGCTGGCTGTAGTCTTGAATTCACAGAGAGATGATTGAGTCCCAGGGTGTCCCAGTTTGAAGAAAGTTGACATAAGGCGTCAGCGAACTGCATTGATCTGTGTTCCGCAGGATCTTGTTGGGGTCGTGGACCTAGAGCCGTCATGGGATTCAAAGGTGAGGGCTTGGACGAGCAAGTGCTCTGGTCTGGGGGTTAGAGAGTCCAACGAGGCCATCTTCCGTAGGTCATAGAAGTGTCAATTCTTCCGAAATGTCCCTGAACCGTGGCAACTTGCCGTGAATCTAGCATGGCTTGCCTAAACAAACTTTTGAGACATGACTGTCCTCCTTTCTCGAACAAGGCAGAGGTTTCTTCTCGCCGAGAGTTTCGGAGGTGCAGGAGAGGAGTCGTTCCCTGAGCCCGCGGATCAAAACAGAGAAGTGGGCGAGCGTGTCCCAAAGTACTAGCGCACTAGCCTGGAGCAACAACAATATTTCACGCAGTTGCTATTAATGCCCGCAAGGCCCCGACCCCAGCGGAAGAAACATCCCCCATACCGTCACCAGCGCAAGAGAGCCCTAACTCCCACATCCTAGTGAACCCTCAGCCCCATGAACCCTAAACATCCCTAAACCCTAAACCGGGAAATGCCAACAGGATCCTGAACCTCCTGAACCCGGCAATGTCCGATATACACAGGCTCCAGGACCTCAGAAACTCCCTGTGCCAGGTCGGTCGGCGCATTGGCAGCTCCGGTACACGCCCGCGAAGCAGAAAAAGAAATGCGTCCAGAGAAGGAGGGTTCATGTGGGGTCTAGGGTTCGGGTTTAGGGTTTGAGGATGTTTGAGGTCTAACTGATGGGTTTCAGGGAACTTACTGAAACCTACTCATAGGACTGACATGACGCTGCACGGTTGTCAAGCTCCAGGAGCTTCGGGTTCTCAAGGGTTTTATGAATTAGGTCATAGGCTTTTGGTCGTATAGGATGCGCAATGGGGAGCTTTCTCTCGTCCTAGAGCTGCAAGACGACATCCTCATCCCCACACTGCAAGCACATGTGTGGAAAGTTAGAGTTCAGGTCCCCTGGCAGTCTCTCACCTCAGGCCCCGAGACATGTACCTTCATGAGTTCAAAGTCTTGGGCACATGAAAGTACAAGGTGTCCAATACTCTCTTTCATTGAACTAGCTCTCAGGCTGCAGGAAGCTCCGATTCCAGGATATGTAGGGTTCAGGAGCGGTTACGCACCCCACAGCTTGCGGCTCAAGGGACACCTTCCGCAAGCGAACGCGCTACCGAATCGTGTAGCCGCTTAGCCCTTGCGACGGCCCAAAGATGACAAGGCTCCTTGGGTGCGGCGATACATGCGGGACTTCAGGGTGTGAGGGCACCAGCAAGAGCCTCCCACACACCCTACCCAGTCCACCTCTCCTAAGTCCTCCCGAAAGCCGAACACCCCGAGCATCCGAACACAGCCCTAAGCCCACCCAACCAGTACAGCAGGCCCAGAATCCCCAGAATCCCCCGAAACCCTAAGGACCCGAAGGGTCCAGATTTGTTTTGGATCTTTTGGGGGGATTTTGTGTTGCTGTTGTTGCTGCTGGCTGGTTTAGGGGTTCAGGGTTGAGGGTTTAGGGCTTAGGGCCAAAACCCTAAACCCCAAACCCTAAACCCACCGACAGCGGAGAAGCAGAAAGCCAGAGGCCGGAAACCCAAACAAAAAACAGACAAGCAAACTCCCAAAACGACTCAACTCCGCACCCGAAAAGGGCCCAAAGGGATCCAGAATCTCAGGCCCGCGAGGTGGCTTTGCTGGCTGTCCCTCCTCGGCGTAGCTGTCGCCGAGGAGCACCAGGATGCCTCCTGCATGCTGCAGGCGAAGCGGGGGGGGGGGGGGGCTCTCTTTTGTTGGGGCAAGAACGGGTTTCGAATGGTGTGTGGCGTAGACGGTTTCGGGCTCAGTGGTGCTTGTTGTTTGATGCTTTTTGAGACTTTGGGCTTGTTGATTCGGAAGTGCCTCTTTGGAATTTCCGGAATGGTTCCAGAGTTCCAGGGCTCTAGGCTTTCTCTATTTCGGGTCCTCCATCGTTGGAGGGGTAGGCTTTCTCTTATGCTCCTGTGGTTTGTCGCTTCGGAGGCATACTCGGATCCCAAGTGTGTAGGCCGTAGGCCTTCGGAAGCTTTCTACTCTAGAAGCAGCATGGCGTGCTAGTTCTTCGGTCAACTTGACAACGATCCAGTGTGCCCGTGGTTAAGTGCATGCATGTTGTGAGCTCGCAACAAGATGAAAGAGTTCCTTCTTCTAGGGTCAAGGAGTCAAGGACACGATGCAGGCACGGCTTTGAAAATGCACATTTTCTTTAGGGTTCCTGGGTTCGAGCCTCCGCCGCTCTGCCTGACTGCCTGAAGGCGCAGCGGAGCGCTGCGGGCGCGCAGCTAGGGCTCACCCCCCAGCAGCTGCTCCAGGAGCAGGAGGACCTGGAGAGATTTGATCGGCTGGCCCGCGAACTCGAGGAGAACGGGGTGCTGACGGCAGGGCAGGCGGTGGAGGAAACCGCCTTTCAGGATACCGAGGCTTCCCAACTCTTCTGCGAGTACGGCACGACCACGTTGGACTTCAAAACCTTCTCCCATGGAGACTGGGCTGCACTGTGCGTACGGGAGTCACGGGAAAAAGTGACAGCGTTGGGGATGCTGGGGTATGTCGTGCTGGTCACAAGTGGACAACTGGCCAGATGGCTGTATATCGGAAGTCTGGTGTGAATTCTTAGGTTGGAGAGGGTAGGGCGGGTAGGGGTTGACACCGTGATTCTCCCACATGTGAGCAGGAGAGGAGGTCAAGCCGAACAGCATTCCTGGAGTGACCATCACGGGCCACCGGAGGGTCACAAATGGTGGCATCCCCTGCACGGACCGCCGGGGCTTCAAACCAAACAACGCTGGAATAGGGGTTTTGTGGGTCGCCAAGTGCTGCAGAGGTTAAGGCTTCCTGGCTTGTGGGGCGTTCTGTCGTTTTGGATTTGACAACCTCTTCAATGAGTTTTGCGTGGCTACAAGAGGGCCCAAAGTCTTCAGTATGACTCCATCATACTCCATCGCTCATAGTCCATGCAGAGAGCGCGAGGGCATTGTAACTTGTGGCCTCCTTTGCTTGGAGTCATCCCTGCAGTAGTATCGCATTTTAGCCTTATGTGCGCCCCCACGACCACACAAAGCAAGTCATAGTGCCCAGGGGAAGGGGACCCCCAAAACCCCCCAATTTACAGTAGACAGCGTGCCGCCAGCATGCCACCCTCCGAACCGGCAGGCAGTGTCTACAAAAAACCCTGCGAAATCCAGAGTGCCAGCGAATCGAGCATAATGTGAGCTTCCAGCCTGTCCTCAGGGACCCCTGATGATCCTGAACAACCGGGAGGGCGGGGCAACCACTGATCACGTGCCCAGCCTGCAGAGGCATGATTTGGATTTGGAGGGTGCTCTGAAACCCATGTTTAGGAGGCTTCGTATGTGCCAGTGATTTCATAGGTTGTCGTTGCTCCTCATGGAACTCGGCGCACAGCGTGCGTTCTGATGCAGTGATTTCTTGTGGGCAGGCATGGGGCATGGGTGTACATGTGAATATCAAACTCCGTAGAGCAGGAGTCCCAACAATGTAGACCCCGACGGGTTCCACTTTCCAGGCTTAAGACCATCAAGAGCAAGGGATGTGGAGAGCCCCTCCCAGCCTGTTGACTTGACGCCTCCGTCCCCAAGAACTTGAGAAACCCGCCATGTTCATGTTGGTCTTTTTTTCAGGAAAAGGGGGACTTCGCATGACAGAGTACGAAGAGTAAAGGCATAGGATGTACGAGACTCAAAGACATTCAAAAGGCCTCTTTTGGGCTTTTGTATCTCAATATCTCTTGGTTGCTGCTTCGATTGAACCAGGGCTTCTGTATCTCAGTATCTCATGGTCTCATGCTTGTTGCTTCCACTGACGCAGGTTCCAAGTACCTTGAGCCACGAAGTCAGATGTTACGAGGGTTAGGTGTATGGGTTGAGAAACCCAAGGATCTCGCGACCTGCTCCAACTGCGCACTGCTGGTCTATTCCGAGGAACGCTGGCTTCGATATCCGCATGTGGGCCCCGAAATGTTTCGAAGGAAGACGTGGGCATTCCCAAGGTATTGTGCCCCTACTTTCCAAAGTACAGATGCCAAACTCCCACCAGCACTCCAGCACGCGCATTGCGAACTCTGCAGAACTCATCTTCCAGTCGTTGCCATAGCTCCGAGGCTAGGATCTCCACGCATAAAAGGCCCCCCCCCCCCTTCTGCAGGATCTGTAGGTCGTGAGTTCTGACCTCAGAAGTCCTTGGGCTCAAGATGTCATCGTGCAAGGATGGCGATTCCCAAGTGGTGGATGACTGTGCAGAAAGGCCAGGTCCGAAGTTCATCTTCGAGTGGGATGCCGCAGCCTGGCCGGAAAGGGTACTCGTAGTTTGAATATGGTGGTGTTGCGAAGTGCAATCAAAGCCTTAAGCCCGAAGTACCCTAAACCTCAGGACGACCAGTTCATCTCTGGCACCCTGCAAGTAGGATCCCCCTCATAAACCGAATCAAGCAACAAAAGATCCACAAATCTGGCGCGCCCTTGGGAGCCTGGAAACCCGTACAGGCCCTAAA